TGAGCCAGAGCCCACTTCACCCATGGTGTTCCCAGGGCAGGACCCGCTAATCTGCCAGCTGACTCCCAGAGGCCAAAGGCCCCGCTAAGTGCCTGTGGGCTGGGCTGGCCAGGATCTCTAGCCTGGTGGCGGCCAAAGCCTCCCAGAGTGGCCGGCTCCAAGCCAGTCACCTCTCACCTCCAGGGCAGGGCGCAGAGGGCGACTGGGAGACTGCCCCTGCAGACCCGTCCTGCAGCCGATATCCCCGACACTTCTCAGCGCGGCTCCTCTCAAACTCACGCGGCTCTCAGCAGCTCCTCCTGGTCAGGGGCCGGCCACTTCCTTCACCACAGACTTGTGAACCGCTTACTGCCCCCGTCTGGATGGCCACGTGGTGAATCACCCCGAAGCGTGGAGGCCCGCGACACGGCAGTCCACACCCCTGGTCCCGTGGTCCCCATGGCTCTGGGCACACGGCTGGGTCCCATCTCAGGGCCCCGTCACCCCCCAGCTGCACGCAGCCCCTCCAGAGGTGGCTGTGCTCCCTCGTGACATGGAGAAAGGCTTCTGTGACCTCGATGCCCAAGGCCACTGCCTCCACGGGCCACCCTCTAGGCACAAGTCACACAGGGTGGCTGTGTCCGGGGCAGGAGAGCTGGGCCCCACTTATAGATGTGAGGAGAGTGGAGGGGCTGTGGGTCGTCCCCGCTGGCCCTGGGTCACACAGAACAGCGGGAAACAGCGGCCTCTTCCCCTCCGGGATCCGCTCTCCCTGCCCCTGCTTCCTGTCTGGGCAGCTGACCCCCAGGGGCCACACCCACGGGCCTTCTGCCCTCAGGCTGCCGTGGGCAAGTACTCAGAACTGGGGAGGAATTCAGCCATCGTTTATCTTCCTACCCCAGCCTCTGCTGGGGGGCTGCCCAGTGTCCCCCACTCCAGGGAAGCCAGAGCTCCCGTGGGCTCCCGTGGGCTCCCGTGGGCCAGGCTAGCTCTGCTCCAAGCAGCTCCCTGTCCCCCTCCCCACAATGTCCCGGCCCTTGCACTTGGAGGTAGAAATGGCTCCCGCTACCCTAGGCCTTGATTCTGGGCATCCTGCCAGGACCTCCGTGCCTGGTCTTTGTGCCAGGACTTAGAGTGACAGGTGCTTAAAGGGAGGGATGTGCCAGAAGGGTGGGGCCTCACCCTGGCTGGCGGGCAGCCATGACCAGAACCGCTCGCCAGACGGAGGAGGACCGAGGAGGAGGGCCGCGGAGGGCCAGGGCCCACACAGGACTGAAGGGAGGGGTCCAGGACACTCTGGGAAGAGCAAATGGTTGGGCACTTGTCAGCGAGCCTCAGGCCACATTGCCTGAACTTTGTCACGTGAGGGATGAGAAAGAAAGTCATCGGTAGGATTTGATAGAAGGGCAGGGTGTCCCAGGGGGTGACCTTAGAATCATCATTGCCAGGTTCCTGACGGAGGAGGTGCTTAATGTCCGTGAGCCTCAGTTTTCAGCAAGATGGACACATCACCTCCTGGGCTGGTGAGGGCTGCATTAGGAAACTTCCAGACTCAAAATACCCCACAACACAACTAAGGTCGGCTTGGAGAGTAAGGAGCTTTAACGTGTCATAAGAGTCTGGAGTCGGGAGATGAATTCACAGCTCAGAGGGGCAGGCTCTAGGTCTGGTTCTCTAATCCGTCACCTTTAAGTTCAGCCTCACACAAAGACTCAGGGCAATGGGCACAATGTAGACAAGTTGGTTGCAGAATGTGAAGTGAGTGGCCTCAGGCCGTTTCCCTGAGGGCTCATTTCCCTCTGAAACTCCGGGAGCCAGTCCTCACTGTCTGCCTTCCTACCCACACTGCAGTCTTGTGAGCTCCCAGGAGAAGTGCCGTGAAGCTCTGCTCAGGACATCCCAAGGCCTCCCCATCCTGTGTCTCCAAACCTTTCCCACCTCCTCCCGCAGACCAGCGCCAAACCCTGTGAACCACCTGGTGGGGTTCATCCCGGGAGCCCACTCGTGGCACCCATTTCTGTGTTAGCTTCTGTTGCTGCGACAAAGAACAACTTAGAAAAGGACAAGCTCACTCTGGGCTCTTGGTTTCAGAGGTTCGGTTCACGACGGGCTAACTCCACGGCTCTCGGCTGGAGAGGAGGCAGACATGATGGAAGCCGAGGACAGCTGCGGAGGACAGCTGCTCGGCTACCGGGGGCCGGGAAGCAGGGGCAGGCGGAGAAGCCTGGGACAAGACATGATCCCCAGGACACACTCCCAGGGAACCCACCTGCCTACTATACCACCCCAAGGGGGTGCACCTGGTCAGTCTGCCATCGTGGGAAGGTGGCCCTGCAGGGTGGGCCCTGGCCAGCGGGCTCTGGGCGGGGGCTCACAGGGCCCCGGCTCTGCCTGTCTTCTCCATGGTCCTCTCTGTGTCTCTGTGTCATCTGTGAGTGTGTTGGCCCCAGGCAGGAGCTTGACACTGGGACCTGGCTCTTGCTTCTGTCCCTTGACCCCTCCCTCCCTCCCCAACCTATAGCCTCTGAGATCGTGAGCAGCTCAATATAAAAACCTTCGCTGGCCAGGGGCCACGGGGTTGAGGACGGTGGGCAGCACAGGTGGGGCCAGGCCTCGGGGCAGAGGGGACAGAGGGCCCAGGAGGCCGGTAAGGGACTCGGCTGGGACTCAGGAGGGCCGGGCCAGGTGGGTTCAGCGCCTGCCTTCCCGTCAGGGCCTGACTCTAAGCCAAGACGTGTGACTGCCCATTTGTAAAAATAGACCAGCCGCCACGGCAGCCGCCCGACACTGGGCCACCCTGGTCCCTGGCAAGAGAGCCCGGTGCTTGGCCACCCGTGCACGCAGGAACTGCAGCCCAGAGCAGGCACAGGGCCTGCCCAAGGTCACAGAGCTGGGGGACCCTGACTCCCAGCAGGCACCCTGCACAGCACCTTGGATCCCCATGGGCCCTGAGCCTGGACCGAAGGTGACCCAGCCCTGGCCTCTCTAGGCCAAAGCAGACCTACTTCGTGGCCGTCTCCACACTTCAGAGAGCTCCCGCAGGCTGGGTGGGGCCTGGGCTCTGCCGGGGAAGGTCCTTAACTGTAGCGGTAATGGCAGCCGCTCCCACGTGGGCCTGGGCTCTACACACAGCACCTCCTTCACCTATACCAGAGCCCGTGAAGCAGGAGCTAGTATTGCCTCCATTTCAGAGGCTCAGAGAGGTTGACCAACTTGCCCAAAGTTGCAGAGCGTGGAGCTTGGCGAAGCCAGCACTGCCGGCCAGGCCGTCTGACTCCAAGTGAACTAACAGATGAAAAGTGGGTGAAGTTGTCCCCCAGCACAGCAGGCAGCTGCTGCTGGCACTTGACTCACACAGTCCCCGAGTCCCATACCCTAGAATTCCACCACCAGGGGACCGTGGTGCTGGGAGCCTAGGCCTCCCGCTCCCAGAGAGAGACCTTGGGGAAGCCTGTCTCCCCAGGTGAACGGACCCCAGGGGGTCGGGTTGGGGGTCCAAGGCAGAGAGCAGTCGGGAGGGCACCTTTTCTTAGTCAAAGGTTCCAAGATCATTCCAAGCACTGCCTGGGGCTCTCCAGGGGGGTCTCCA